TTGTTTCCCACGCCATTTTCTCATCAGCTTGCCATCCCCACTTCCTTACCCTCCCTCACAACCGAAAGCAAAAGTTAGATAAGTGATAATAAAAATTCTAAGACCAGATTATGGCTTAGAACCCCAGAAGAAAATCTAAGTTGAAAAATAAAAACAAAGTTGAGGAGAGCAAAATGAATGGATATTTTCATACATCTAAAACCAAATATTTTCAAAATTATTTTCACATTAGATAACCAAACTTTAATTATATCATTTCTAAAATGTCTATGCTATTACTTCTACCCACCCATTTTATCTATCTGATTGTCAATATTCTTTTAGTGGAGAAAAGGAAAGACCTTCATATGTTTTCATCATTTTTATTGGCAGTTTTCAGATAGTTCCGTATCTCAGGAAGAAAACGCTTTCTTCTCCAATGGTTTGGAGCCACCCGAGAGTGAAAGAGTGGCCGCTGAAGGTAAACCTGAAACTATCGACTATACAACATGAACAATGAATTGATCATCTTTCTAATGCAGGCACGCTGAAAGAGTGAAACTACATAGAAAATTTTAGGACTAATCATACACGTATACAAATCAGATAACCCATTCCACTTGACTTTACAGTACACCAACCACTGGCATTTTGTTGTTGTTATTGCTGTTGATTGTTGTTTAATTTTAAGACACAGTTTATTTTAAGGCCTTGGTTAATATTTACATTTTATGAATAATTTATATGTCAACCCAGAACATGATAGACAGTAATCAAATCTGTATAAGATTCCTAATCTGTATTGGTTCCTACAAATACAACATCTTTTGGAGAACCTAACTGCCTATTTCACTATTTCAAAGTCAGAGATTTAATAGCACTATATCCATTAATCTTACCTCTGCAGCTAAATAATTCCCAGTTGCAAGATGTTTAAATCTGAATAAGCTGTTCCATTGTCCTGCACCCCCACGGCATGGGTCATGGTGAACCACCTATAGACAAAAAGAACAATGACAATAATGACTAAAACATATTCATGTCCCTGGCAAGCAAATGCCAGCCAACAGTATACACAGGGTGCCCGCAGCCTGTTAATGCTAACTTGTCAAATCTAATATATGTTTTCATAAGAAGGCAATGTGACAGAAAAACCAAATTCCCCATAAAGGATCAAGCAACCTAACAGTTGATTCATTGTGCATGCATGATGCTCATACCTTACTCAAAACACAGCCTCACTCCAAAAGAAATACGGTGGGGCTCCCCCCACCATTTGTTGTTCAAACATTCATTCGACAGACTTAAAAACTGACAATGTGCCAGGTATTCTTCTAGGCAATAGGGACACAGCAATGAATAAGACTAGCGCTCTCAGTGAATAAGATTTGGCATGTGCACAGAGTGCATGACTGAGTAACCAGGGAAGGCTACCGTAGATAAGACAATCAGCATGGGCCACTCTGAGGAGATGAGATGTGAGCTGAAGCCTGGAGGATAAGAGTGAGACAGTCATGCAGAGAAACTGGAAGAGATCATTCCAGGCCGAGAGCACCACCAATGCTAAGGCCTGGAGGTCTGGACGAACTTCATCTTTTCCACGTGTGCTTTGTATTAATACCACGTCCTTTGAGACCTGTCCTTGGAACTAGCCTGGCCCCAGATGCTTGCCTCTGGGCGCATGAAGAATAAAAGCAGTAGCTCTGAAACAGCTGGTTGTGACAGGTGGCCTGGTGCAGCCGCAAGTCCCAGCTCCACCAATTACTACGGTATGATACCAGCAAATAATTTAACATCTGCAAGCCTGTTTCTTCATGTACAAAATGAGCTGAATTCATAGGATTGTTGTGACGATTCAATAACATACGGCATATCAGAGCACTAGAACTTTTCATTATTCTCCCTCAGCAGCTTACCTGTTTTGTATTACTAGTGACTCCTACCCCAGCCTCAAATTCTGTTGGCTAACATAGAACTTTCTAATGTCTTTTGCTAGACTCCAGCTTGTATGTCTTCCCCTACTCCAATAGCTCAAATGAGATAATAATTGTGACAATACTTCAACGTGGGTGGAGTCTTTAAAAATGCTTCTCCTGTGACCAAAAATCTACCCATCCTACAAGGCTCAGTTCTCAAATCACTTTGCTNTCTCAGGCTCCCAGTCTTTCGTCCACCCTTCAGCAATGACGTTCCTTGTGGTCCCATCATGCTCTTCACGCTCACTGATCTCATCCACGCTGAAGGGACCATATCCATTTCTTCAGCCCTCGCCAATCCCCCAACTTCTAGAAGCTGTGGAACCTGTCCCTATTAGGCATATTCACCTGGACATTTTACAAGCCCCTCCAATTAAACATATTCCAAATGGAATGGATTATTTCCCTCATCAGCTTTGCACCTCTTCCCGTTTTCCCTAAATTGGTAAACGACATTACCAGTTCTCCAGAGCCCAAATCCTCCTGCTCCTTAACCCCTAACATTCTGGGGATTACCACTCCATTGATTCTATGTCCTAAAATTATCTCCCCCTTCTTGCCATTACCAGTGCCAGCCACTCACTCCCTTGGTTCAAGTCCTCAGAATTCCTTGAGGTATCAGACCTTTGTCTCCTATCTGGTCTTCCTGCATCTAAATTCAGGCTCTTTCATCACTTCACAAAGGCTCCAGAGCAGCTGTCCACTAGCTGCCCTCTGACGACAGCAATGTTCTCATTTGCACTGTCCAATACCGTGTAGTTCCCGAGCAGCCTGACATGTGGCAAGTATGATCAAGAAACTGATTTTTAAATTACATTTAATTTAAATAAATCAAATATTTATTTAATATGAATACCTGTGTTTATTTTATTGATTGATTGATTGATTGATTGATTTAGTTGAGCCATCCTGCCACCTGTTGGCAGTTCAGCGGCAGCTCTGCTCGGGCCGGGCATCGAACTGCTGTTGCTGAGAGCTCGCACTCTTGAGCAAGCTCTTAACCAACTGAGCCACTTGGCCGGCTGACTTGAAACAGCCAACATGTGGCCACTGACACATTGGACAGTGTGATTCTGCAGTGTTCTTCTTGAAGCACAGATTTATTCAGAACACCACTCTTTACTTTAAAGATAAAACCCATTCTCCTTAGTTTAATATATGTAGCCTGAAAAAGTCAGCGGCCCTACATTTCTGGCTGCACCACTGCCCTCTCACCTTCCAGCACCACTTCCAAACTCACACATATCCTATGTGTGATTCACATACACATCACACATGTGAAACTAGTGTGTACAATACCCCACGCTTCCTTGCCCATATAACAGCTGCCCGCACTACGCTTCCTCTCTCTCCCCATCCGCCGTACTCTCCCATCAGGCAGCTCCTCATCTGGCCCCCACATCTTCCTTGTACCACCCGGCACCTCCACCAACAGTGCTTCGCACCTCAGTGCTTCTGCATAAGCCCGCTGCAGTTCATACCACTACAATACGCTCAGCCCCCTGTACTGGGAGCTCTTCAAGGACAGAAATTAGATTTTTCTAACATCACCGGTGTTTGCAAATAGCTACCCAGTCCCAACCTCTCAGGTAGCTACCAGGATAAACTTCAAACTTCATTCCTACTATTAATAAGATCAAATCCAAACCCTTCATTCAAAATCTTCCAGTAAAGGGATACGTCACTCAATAATTCCTTGTTGAGCCCCTCTTTTAGCTGGCCTCTCTTTATTACATTGTCTACATATGATTGAGACATTCCACATCTCTCTCTGTGCCTCCTTGGCAACTTCTACCAGGGTTGTCCTTTTATTTCTCTGAAAACCTGTGTCTGTTACTTTCTCTCAGAACCATGCAAAAGTTCACCCCAAGCGGGGCCTTCTTTGGCTAATCTCACACTAACCCAACTCCGCCTACGCACATAATCAGGCCTACATGACCTTGCCTGCTGATCACCCGCGTCCTTTATTGTATGCTGTCTTCTGAACCAGAAGGTCAATCCCTGAAGGGCAAAGCCTGGCTGCTCTGCCTCCTCCTCTATCTACAGCATTCTCTACCGTGCTATGCACTTATTCAGGCACTTAAGAAACACATGGTAAAGAGTGTATAAAATCTTAAAGATGATGTTTGCTGTTTTTATGAATCCCAAAAATAATTGTTCCTAACTCTTGCATTTTCAACATCCCAAGGTGTGTGTCTGATTTTTTAAGTAGATCTAGAAGTTAAAGGTAAAAGTGAAAAAGTAAAATAAAGCCATGGAGTCTTTTCTCCCCTTAGGAAGATGGGTATAATATAATAAAGCAAATAATGCTAGCAAGTTACAACTCAAAGTGTTGAGAACTCCCTACACTACCCCAATGATATGAAGAATGCTTAAAATGAAAGACCTGGGCATTGTTAAAAAGCAAAATGACAAAAGGGTAATCATTGTTTCTCACCTATCATGGAATTGAAATTAGGAATCAATTTTTTATCACGTGATAGTGATTACTACAATCACTGTGACTCTGCCACACCTCCGGATGCTTTCACATCAGTAGGACAAGCATCTGAGACAAGACTATGTCAGGATCTTGTCTGAACTCAGCTCACATATGAAATATAAAACCCCAACTTATGGATGTCAGTATTTTGAAGTTATGACTTCTCCTTTGATGTTAGAATACCACACAGAAGCACCCATTCTGTTACACTAGTTAGAATCACTAGAAAATACATTCCCAACTTTCAGTTTTCAGATATGTGCTTAATGCTTCATGATCCTTCCCTCATTTTGAATTTTAAAAAATGTTACCTAAAGTATTAAAGGTCAAAGAAGAGATCCTACAAAAACACCAGACCTTTTAATGGATAAAATAGCATCTGGCACTTAAAGTCGTGTTTTCTATAAATAGAGTGAAAAGACAGTCTTTCAAATTCTTCTCAAGGAATGAACTGCTTTCTATTTTTCCATTTTTAATGAATTCATTTATGTACTGAGGTCTTAGATTTTCATTAAAGTTAATAAACAATTTAATTCTTAATAACATAATCATTTGAATGTATCAAATGATACAAGTTTTAATTGCAGAAATTAACAAGGAAAGCTAACGATGGGTAATTATATCATTTTTCTACAGAACGTCAGTAGCTAAAACAGCCATTGATTGAAAAGTGAACTCGAGTCCTGGCCCGAGCTGAGCAGCTGCTGAGCTGCCAACAGGTGGCAGGATGGTTCAGCT